GGGGCAGTGTGCAGGACAGGGACCGGGCCTCCCAGGACAGCAGGGGTGATGCGCGGGGTCCAGGGCTCTCTCCAGGGTTCCAGTCTTATCCTTGGGAGAGCCGTGAGTGTGGATGCTCATGTGACTGGTAGGAGGGAGGAGCTCCGGGTCCGTTTTCCTCCCGCTGACTTCCTTTGCCACAGCTGCTGAGGTTGGACCTGCACTGCTTCTGCCCCTCCTGGATACCCCTGGAGCAGGCCAGCCCCTCAGGGCAGGGCTGGGTGGGCTGAGCCACTGCCGGGCTGGGGGCCAGATCCCTGCCCTTGGCTAGGTTGCTTCTCTGCTGCCCCCAGCCCAAGGCTCTGATCTCCAGGCAGGGGAGGGCCGTGGGAGCCACTACGGTCAGGGTGGGCAGAGCCCCTGGGTCGGGAAGACCTTAGGACCGTCTGCAGCCCCTCATCCTGTTTCCTGATAAACTGGGGTCACCCAACCCTCATGGTGAGACATGGTGACTGTCCCCAATGACAGGTGGTGACTGCTGTCCCTCTGGGATTGGTCACCATGCTTGGTTGTGCTCAGCATATTACCCTTGGGTGCAGCGAGTTGGGCCCTGCCTGGGGGTCATGGTTGAAGCACATGGGGGTGAGGTCAGGCCCGGGCGGCGCTGGTGCTGGCCTCCGGTGCGCGCCAGCCTCACCTTCAGGGAAAACTTGTGCTGGAGGTCTTTCAGGTTCATCCTGTGGTACAGGGCCGTGACGTCGTGCCTCTCCTCCTGGGGCACTGTGGCCTGCATGTAGGCTGGGGTCACGTGGGGTGGGTGGCCGGAGCCTGGCCGAAGACCCCTGGCCCGGTCCCCGGCCCCGCCTCACGTTGGCCAGGTGCGTCTCCAGCTCCAGCACCTGCGTCATGTCCTTCCGTACTAGCTTGTTGTCCTTGGGGAGCTTCATGTCCTTCCGCAGCATGGTGGCCACCGATATCATGAACTGCAGGTAGGCTTCCCGCACCTGGGCCAAAGGACCGTGGATGGAGTTGGGCCGCCTCGGCCGCCTCGGCCGCCTCGGCCACCATGGAGCGCTCTGTGGGGTGGGGTGGGTGATGACGTGGAGCAGCCCCCCGGGAGCCCGTCTGGCCAACCTCAGCCCCCAGGCTCTGCAGCACACAGTGCCTGTCCTGCCCAGCTCAGGGCCCTGTGGCCCCATCACACTCCCAGCACAGCTGTGTGCCCGTGGACCTGCTGTCCACCCAAACTGTGGTGTCGGGCCCACCCAGGGTCACACCAGACGGCTCACACTAGGCCGCTCCTGACCAGCTCCATCCCTGCTGACCAAGTGACCCATGCCCCAGCCTCTGTGGCAGAGGGCTTTGAAGGGCTGGCCCTGCAGGCACCTGTGAGGCTCATGTTGTGGGAGGAAGCCTGGGGTGGGGGCTCCTAGCCAGACTGAGACCCCCTTTCCCCTCCCATCCTGGGAGGGGCTTTCCTCAGGGCGAAGGAGCCGCAGAGGCCACCCCTGTACGCTGTTCTGCGCCAGGCGGAGGCCGCCCCCGTACGCTGCCCTGCACCAGGAGGGCCAGTGCCCCCTGCAGGTCTGATTGAGGTGGCCCATGGACAGGACACTCCAGCTCCTGATGTCTGAGGATTCTCCCGACCCCTGGGCTCCATGCTTCTGCGTCAGCCGTCCTTCTTCCTGACCTGACCCATCCTTCAAAGCTCAGCTCACTGCCCCTCTGCCAGGAGGTCCCCAGGGCTCCCAGCCCTTCCATTGGGGCCACCCACACCTCCTGCCTTTCCTGCTCTGCTCCTGGGGTACCCCACCCCCTACCTGCTCTCTACTCTCTGACTCTTCCCCGACCCCAGCCCCCTTGCCCTGGCTGGCCTTTCTGGACACTTGTCTCTCTCTCCTGACTGAGCCCCTTGCTACAGGAGCAGAATGTGGGCTCGGGCCCAGCTGCTCATGCTGGGCATGTCTGTGCAGACCCTGGCAGTGTGGCCTGGCTCTGCATGGCAGGCTGGTTGGGGCTGGCAGGTGGCCCCACAGGCTGCCTGCTGGCTGAGCTCTCCTGAGCCTGGCAGAGGGTGTTGAAGGTGAGTCCTTGCTCTGCGTCCCTGGCATCCATGCCAGGCTGGACCCTGGAACTGGCCACAGAAGCTTGCTGTGGGCTGCAAGGGTCAGTGGACCATGGAGCCCCTGGCCCCAGTAGGCCCTGAGGTGGGAGGGGCAGGCCCAGCCTGGGCGGAAGGGCCCCAGCTCACCTTCTTGCTGTCACCCTCGCTGAAGTAGTACTCCCGGGAGGGCATGCCCAAGGTGGGCTGGTCTATCTGGAAACACAGAGGGCATGACCTTGGGCAAGAGCCCGGGGTCCACAGCCTGCAGCACCCCTCCCAGGACTGTGTCCAGTGGGATACTCGCACCCCTGAGGGTAGATGCTATAGAGTGTTACCCCAGGAGCCTAAACTAGCTCTGAGTGACAGGGAGGCTGGGCAGGGCCTGGAGGACAGGACTGGGGGAGCCAAAGAAGGGTGGAGGGCCAGGCCCTGCAGGGCCCCTCGGTGCTCCCCCGTCCCGGGGTGGCCTCACACGTGTTTCCCTGGGGCCCTGGGAGTAGGCTTCCTGCCCTGGTGGCAAAGGCCCCCTTGTCCCTGAGAACCACAGAAATCCTGCTCCGTGCCGTCCGTCCCCAGAGGCTCAGATGTGGGCCAGGAAAGGGCTCAGGGAGCCCAGGCCCTGAGCACACAGCCCCACTGCCCGGGCCTGTGTCGTCTCCCTCCCACTCCGTCCCC